AAGTGGAAACAGAATTTGGAATTTTTTAATAAAATTGCAATTTTAGGATAGAATTTATTTTATATAGACCTAAAGTTCCTAAGAAATTTCAAATCCACTTAAATTCTGTTCCCGTTTACAACATATATGCTGTAAAGCATAAAAAATTTTAAAATTTTAGACATGTTTGGGTTAGTTGAATAAGCTAATCAGAAAGTATTTCAAAAAGTATAAAATTCGTATTTTATAGTAAAAAAAAAGTTCATGCTGATTGTTATGGCCAGAAGGATAATACTATTACTAGGCGAATAAACTACCAATAACTATCTAATTTGTCAAACTTTTTGACGACTGTTTAAAGAGAATAAACTGACAAAAACACTATTATCAACAGAAAGCTGAAATATTACTAATAGCCCTACCACTAAATGTACAAACAACTATATCATATAATATAGATCTGACAATATTATCACTACAGCAAATAAATAAATTTGCAAATCAAATCAAAGCCTAACAACAATTATAACTAAATAAGAAAAATAGAAATAAACTACTATCAATCACTATATCAATAGCAGCAAATTTCAAACCAGAAAAGAAATATTGATATCAAACAGCTACTGACTATAGCTCAGAATATAAATAATGCACCATCTATAAAAGATTAGAATGCAGAACAATACTAAAACTTTTGATTAAAAATAGAAAAACGGGCTAACATACAAAATAGAAATTACACAATTAGAAATATTTTAATAAATATATATAAAAGCCAATTTGATAATAGCAGAACAAGAAGAATAATATTATGCCTAATGGTTCTATTACTCAATATATTAATAATTATTTTAGAAATATTTATACTGCATTAAGAGAATACTACTATGATCAATATAAAATCGACTAAATGATATTAATCGTATTTTTTTTAAGACTTGCTCTTTGATGATCTTATTTCACGCACTGCTAGTGCTCAGCACGTTTAAGAAAACAAATTCAACACTTGATAGTAAGGTATATAAAAAACTGCATTATGGTTAGCTCGTACGTTTGACATAATTGTGTTACCAACATTTGATAGCATGATAATGTCTCTAAAACGCATAACGTAAATATATACAAGATTGTGCTCTAGATAAACACGTTGTAGATGGTAATTATAATGATAATAATAATAAAGGCAATGGCGATGAATGAATAAATTTTGATACGTAACATATTGATTGTTAGCTATAATTAAAATACATTTCTTATCAGATAGGATAAATAATAAAATTATGATTGCTTTCTATTTTAGTGATTTCGGTGTAGTGTTTTTATTTATGCATTTTCTAATTAATTTATATATACAACTGATGTTTGATAAGCGAAAAAAAATTTGTGCGCAATTTAGCTTGTGTAGTGCACGAATCAGCCCGAAATCAAAAAATAAAAAAAATGCAAATATATGAAAAATGCTATCTAAACCTGTTTTGTAGCACTAATGAAAAATGTCTGAAAGGCAATTTTATCTATATACCTATCCTTATTCTAATACCAGCCCTAATTATAATTAAAAGCTATCGGTAATCCAAAATTAATAGATAATTTGGATAACTGTCATATGCCAAGAAATACGAGAATTTCACATATCTATCTCCTTCCTTCCTATTGCCAGAGAGGATAAAGAGAGATCATAACATGAAAGAGTCAGAACCAAGTCAAAGATACGTCTTGCCTACCGAATGAACAAATACTATAAAAGCAATGATAATAAAAATTCAAGACAATATTATTTCTTATCAGAATAATTAAGTCGCAAGCTGGTTAAAGAAATTATGATTTCTAAGACTACAACACAAAAACTAATAAAAATTGTTTTAAAATTAAGCATATGCAATTAAATATAGATGATAATGATGACGAGGGTAAAATTTGTAATAGCAAGTGAAAAAAAGTTCAATCAATACGACGGGCAAAAAGAATCATTAATACACTCAATTAAAATCAGAGTGTATTCTAATAATGCACAAAAAGAGTTATTAAAATGATAGATAGATTCTTCTCAAATACCGCATCGAAACAACAAAAGAGTGAGCTTTTATGGAATAAGTTCCTTATGAAGTACTTGATCATTCTTTTACAGGTGCAATTTTGGCTCGTGAACTGTAAAGTATTTTTGATTTATACTATTATTTTTATGTAGAATGCACAACAGACTATGACAATCTGGGCTCAATATTGTCATGAGCTACTCATTTTTATTTATGGCTCTTACATAGTATCCTAAGTATCCACGACATAAATCTAATGGAGTAAAGTCACAATTTCACCATAAACACCGACAAAAAGATGATGGTTGGCCAAACAAAGAAGGAAAAGTAACATTATATTCTTGTATATTTCGAAAAATCGCTCTAAAGTTATTAAAGAAAATAATTATTATTATTGATCATACTTGATTAAGTTATATATAAAACTCATTTACCAGAATAAACATAAGTTCGTTTACGTGAAATAGGCAGCATATTAGATAATAAGCGACTCGTATATATGGCCTCTGAATGTATAAATTCTATATTTTCTGTTTTATCTGTACTAGATCGGATCATCATTTTTCTAAGTGATTCTGCCTCTTCAAACTACGCATTTCCAGAATTTTTCCATTCAATTAATGTTTTATATAGTTCATTAATATTTGGTTGATCAAGGGAATTATTGTTCCAACATTGAATCATTAAGTTTCTGAAACATTCGGGTGTATCACCAGTGATAATTAGTCAAAGTCCATCTAATATTTTTAAATTTAAATCTGTATTGTGTGATTGATTAGCAAATGGTTTTTGTCCAGATGTGAATTTCCACATAAGCATGCCAAACCAAAAATAATTTAGGCACCCATGTATAATTACATATAAAATTTAGTTTAGCATTATTGGCATAGCATTTATATTTATTTAATATATAAAGGTTTATATTATATAAAGGTTATTTAATATTTCTTTAAAACAATCTTTTTTATATGACAATCTTATAAAGTAGTTTTCTGAAGATTATTTTTTCTAAATCAATAGATTTCTATTAAATATTTTATTTTTAGAATATTATTATAATAAGCATTCAAATTTTGTAATAATACATGATAAATATAATAATAATAAAAATAAGGTTTACAAATTTTATAACTCTTTGAAAAGTTTAAGACAGGTTTGGTATATGTTTATATTGATAATTGTACAAAATCATCTATTATATAAAAAAATATATAATCAGATAAATTGGAATTGTTTCTTCTTGGCAAGAATGAACAATCAAAATACCCTTTACTTTTATTAATTATAAATATAATTAAAAAAGCTGTAATTTCTAACAAACAATATCTTGAGAGCATGCAGTTTCCCTCAAGTTTTGTATTTCCATCTGAAGCAGTTACACAAATCTCCGTGGCTCTAAACTCAGGTAATTATTCTTTATTTATTAATTTTTTGAAAAGCAAAATATGCCTGATTACTATTCTTGCTTATAGATATTTATAATAACCAAGAAATGAAAATTTATAAATTAAAAATAACGTGTAAAAAATAAATTTTATAAGTTTCTCGCGTACTTTTCAGTTCAAATAATTATGATAACATTTTATTAGAAACCAATGCTAATAAAGTTTTGATTTATTTTGACCTTTTGAAATTTGTTTTATCAGATTTTACTACCAGGAGATGCATCTTTAAATAACACATCACTCATTCCTTTAGAAATACCACCAAACGTACCTTAAATTTGATTTTTCTTGACAGCTCAAGCAACAGAAGTTTTTACATGTAAATATCATAAATCTTCAACATCAGATGATTTGGATATCGAATTTTATACCTTGTGCTGATACAGTTCTTTATATTCTTCCAACAATAAGAATTAAACTTCTTAAACTAAATTATACAAGTCTCTAAATTGTTAATATAAATAGAGAGAACGAACTATTATTTGCTTAATAACCAATGCGATGTTTAACTTTATTAATATATTCT